ACCAAAATTGTAGTATTTCAAGTATATGTCAATATTTTTGGAGGAATAATATTTTTCAAATATATTTAAAATGTATTTTTCTTCCCATGTAGGAATCCATGGGGTGGCTGAACAACACTGAAATGGCAGCACGCTGTGAGATGGCATACCTGCTTTTAGTCTCACTCGGAGTGACAATCCTACTGTTGTTTTAGTAACTTTCCTTAAGTCCGTATTACTAAATTATGAAACGGTCCCCTAACATACAGCATCGTGTTTTTTTATTATGATACCTTTTCACATTGAAATACAATCCTTGAGCTTCAGTGACTTTGCCTAGGCTGAAATGCTGTAAGCAGCTTGTCCTCAGTCACCTTTGATGATGCCATTCCAGTGATATGAGTCAGAGATGTGAAGTGTTGCTTTCCCGCATGGCTAGTTGTTTTGTCCCAGTCATTTTTTTAAAACAAAAATACACTTTTTTTAACTTTTAATGCACAAAAACACAATATATTGGCCAATTATTTGGTAAGAGTGAAAAAGATGATGGTATGCCGAGTAAATAGATACCAAACATGACATGATTTAAAAACTGCGCATGCCCCGTGCAAAGACGACAAACTGCATAAACGTATTTTTTAATATGCATAGGCAACGTTTAGAAAAATGCCTTTTACAAACTACCATTTAGATTTACAGAGGAGGTCTAGTGTTAGAATTACTGCCTTGATCTGACGTTCGTGGCGATACCTCACATGCATGGTGCAACCGCTGTTTCCATACTGGCACAGGGTCAATGCTTGTGCACACAGGTAGGGGAAGGGGGCAAAATTCACACAGTTTCGGAGGCCCTGAAATGCCAGGATAGCACCAAACCCCCAAGATGACCCCTTTTTGGAACGTAGGCACTCCCAAGGAATTTTGATAAGAAGCATGGTGAGTATTATTTGCCAAATGTTTTTTGGACAATGAAGAAAAAAACAATATATTTTTTATTTCTTTTTTTATATTTCAAAATCTTGTGAGAAAAAATTTGATCTGCAAAATACTCACCCTGCCTCTTTTTTAAATTCCTTGGGGTGTCTACTTTCCAAAAAAAGGTCATTTTGGGGGGTTTACTGCTATCCTGACATTTCAGGGCTTCCGAAACTGTAATAAGTAGTGAGAAAGTGAAATGAGGAAGTTACGCACCTTCAGGCTTTCAAAGTGGTCATTGGATTTCAGGCTCCTGTATGCGGCTAGGCTCCCAAAAAAGTCTCACACATGTGGTATCCCCATTACTCGGTAGAAGTAGCAGAATGTATTTTGGGGTGTCATTCCACATATACCCATGGCTTGTGCGAGACATAAATTCATTTAAATGGCAACTTTGTGTAAAAGAAAAAAGAAAATGTCTTTGTCATTTTCCAAATACCACCAAGGACAGCTCTATTTGTGTGAAAAAAAGGACAAAAAATTTCAATTTATTTACTGTATTGCATGACCGCGCAATTGTCCGTTAAACTAGTGCAGCGCTGTATAGCAAAAAAAAAAAAATGGCGTAAATTGCAGTATCTATAACCATAGATTGTAGACGCTATAACTTCCACACAAAGCAATCAATATACACTTATTGGGATTTTTTTGACCAAAAACATGGAGCAGAATACATTTTTGGCCTAAATTTATAACTGACCTTGAGTTTACTATAATTTTTTATAGCCGAAAGTAAAAAATATAGTTTTTCTTCAAATGTTTCGGTTTTTTTTGTTTATAGCGCGAAAAATAAAAAGCGCACAGGTGATCAAATACCACCGAAAGAAAGCTGTATTTGTGTGAAAAAAAGGACGTCAATTTTGTTTGGGTGCAGCATTGCATGACCGCGCAATTATCAGTTGAATTAGTGCAGCGCCGAGAAGCAGAAAGAGGCCTGGTCAGGAAGGGGGGTAAATCCTCAGGAGGGCAAGTGGTTAATGCTAAAAAAAGGGGGGTAATTAAAAAGTCCCCATTTTAGTGGTTCCAGCTCCAGATAAAAAGGTCTGAACCCACATAATGCAGAAAGAATGAAAAAGAAAGCAGAAAAGCGCGCGCTACTAAGTGTGTAAGTTTAATGGAAAGTAAAGAGTTAATAATGAAATGCACTCCCTGTGGCTTAATATATATATATATATATATAAATATATATATATATATATATATATAGATATATATATAATATATATAATATATAGATGAAATGTGAGCAAGTGATATGTTAAAAAAAAAATGGCAATAGCGTCTCAAAATCCACAGGAGGAGGAGCTGGGCTCTTAACAGATTCACCCAGACTGCCTAAGGAGCTTCGGTGTGCTCATCCGGTATGGGGCCTTATTACCTACCACCCCGCAGCCTGAGTGACAGAGGTGTGCCTCGAACCTACGACCACGTGCACAGTAGTGCGTAATTTCATTACACTTCCTCACTACCTATCATAGTTTCGAAGGCCCTGAAATGCCAGGATAGCACCAAAACCCCCCCCAAATAACCCCTTTTTGGAAAGTAGACACCCCAAGGAATTTAAAAAAAAGGTGTGGTGAGTATTTTGCCGAGCTCATTTTTACTCACAAGGTCTTTTAATATGAAAAAAAAAAAAGAAAAATATATTTTTTTTGTTTTTTTTCTTCAATTTTCAAAAACTTGTGGCAACAAACGAGATCTGCAAAATACTCACCATGCTTCTTATCAAATTCCTTGGGGTGTCTACTTTCCAAAAAGTGATAATTTGGGGGGAAGGGGGGGGGGGTTTGGTGCTATCCTGGCATTTCAGGGCCTCCGATACTGTGATAGGTAGTCAGGAAGTGTAATGAGGAAATAAAGAACTTTAAAAGCCTGAAGGTGAATATTGGATTTTGGGGTCCTGTACTTGGCTAGACTGCCAAAACGTCTCTCACATGTGGTACCCCCATACTCGGGAGAAGTAGCTGAATTTTTGGGGGGGAGTAATTCCACATATACCCAAGGCATGTGTGAGCAATAAATCATTTAAGTGACAATTTTGTGTATAAAAAAAAAAAAAGGTTAGCTGTTCTAACTTTCCCCAACTATACTAAAAAAAAAAAAAGCTTTTTTTTTCGTCAGTGTCACATTGGAGATTCCCCATCCCCACTAGCAGCACCAACCTGAAAGAGTCTCATGATCCTTTCTTCGTCTATCCAAAATTAATTAAAGCATTTTGGCAAAAGTTGGGCTTTCATATTTTGGGTCTAAATTATTTCCTTTCGTCATGTGCCAAAATATAATGTTTGCCTTCTGTGCTGGTCAATGATGCTTTTTAAGTCATTCTTTGAGGTTGAAAATTATTATTATTATTATACAGGATTTATATAGCGCCAACAGTTTGCTCAGCGCTTTACAATATAACGGGAGACAATACAGCAACAATACAGTTCAATACAAGAGGGATAGGAGGGCCTGATCCTGGGAGCTTACAATCTAGGAGGGAGGGGCTAGTGGTACAAAAGGTAGTAACTGTGGGGGATGGACTGGTTGGAAGAGTAGAAGATTCCATTATTAGCTGAGGGCAGGATAGGCTTCCTGAAGAGATAGGTTTTCAGAGATCGCCTAAAAGTGAGCAGAGTAGGCGATAGTCTGATAAATTGGGGTAGAGAGTTCCAGAGGATGGGGGAAGCTCTGGAGAAGTCCTGGAGACGAGCATGGGAGGAGGAGACAAGGGAGCTAGAGAGTAGGAGGTCTTGCGAGGAGCGGAGAGTGCGGTTTGGGTGATATTTAGAGACAAGATCGGTGATGTAATTTGGGGCAGAGTTATAAATGGCTTTATATGTTATTGTTAATGTTTTGAATTGTATCCGTTGGGCAATGGGAAGCCAGTGGAGGGATTGGCAGAGAGAGGGTGGCAGATACAGAATGGTTAGTAAGGTGGATGAGTCTGGCAGCAACATTCATGATAGACTGAAGAGGGGATAGCCTGCGATGAGGTAGGCCAATGAGGAGGGAGTTACAATAGTCAAGGCGAGATATAACAAGAGAGTGAATAAGTTGCTTAGTGGTTTCCGAGGTTAGGAACGGGCGTATCTTGGAGATGTTGCGGAGGTGAAGTCTACAAGATTTGGACAGTGAATGGATTTGGGACTGAAAGGACAGATGGGAGTCTAGGATTACACCCAGTACCCTGGCATGAGGGGAGGGACTGATGATTGTGTTATTGATCTTGATGGAGAAGTCAGGGGAGGGGGCACGGGCTGGGGGGAATACTAAGAGCTCAGTTTTGGAAAGATTGAGTTTGAGGAAGTGGAGTGACATCCATGCCGATATGTCACTTAGTAGTTAGTTAGTGAAATGTGAGGAGACTGAAGGGGTGAGGTGAGGGATAGAAAGATAGATTTGTGTGTCATCAGCATAGAGATGGTACTTAAAGCCATGGGAGTTGATATGGGAGGAGGTGTAGATGGAGAAGAGAAGGGGTCCAAGGACAGAACCTTGAGGAACCCCTACAGAAAGAGGGAGTGAAGAGGAGGAGGCAGTGTTATAGGTAATGCTGAAGGAGCGCTGTGATAGGTAGGAGGAGAACCAGGAGAGAGCGGAGTCTCTGAGGCCAACAGAGTGGAGTTTTTTTGAGAAGGAGGGGATGGTCAACTGTATCAAAAGCCGCAGAGAGGTCAAGTAGTAAGAGTACAGAGTAGTGGCCATTGGTTTTAGCTGTTAGTAGATCATTAGTGAGTTTAGTGAGTTTGTACTGCTTGGTGGAACAAACCTTCACCATGTCATTTATATGGGCGAGGTCTACACTCTTCTCCTGATACATAAGGCCAAAGCCATCAATGAAAAACCAATCTAGATAAAATCTGGGTAGATATCAGAAGTTCCAATTTTCCAGCATTCTCACAATCCATCATGTCTCCTTTAGCTCTTCTTGATATGATTGTATAAGATTACGGCAAGTAGAAATATTATGAGCCCAGACAGTGCCAGTCGGACAATATTTTGCAGTTTACAGTCATCTTTTTCTATTCTTCCTGGAAAAGTTAAAGAAAAACATCAATGATTTATATCCGCTCTCCCCGGACCCCGCATTCACTATATCCGCTCTCCCCCGGACCCCGCATTCACTATATCCGCTCTCTCCCCGGACCCCGCATTCCCTATATCCGCTCTCCCCGGACCCCGCATTCACTATATCCGGTCTCCCCGGACCCCGCATTCACTATATCCGCTCTCCCCGGACCCCGCATTCACTATATCCGCTCTCCCCGGACCCCGCATTCACTATATCCGCTCTCCCCGGACCCCGCATTCACTATATCCGCTCTCTCCCGGACCCCGCATTCACTATATCCCGCTCTCCCCGGACCCCGCATTCACTATATCCGCTCTCTCCCCGGACCCCGCATTCACTATATCCGCTCTCCCCGGACCCCGCATTCACTATATCCGCTCTCTCCCCGGACCCCGCATTCACTATATCCGCTCCCCCTGGACCCCGCATTCACTATATCCGGTCTCCCCGGACCCCGCATTCACTATATCCGCTCTCCCCGGACCCCGCATTCACTATATCCGGTCTCTCCCGGACCCCGCATTCATTATATCCGCTCTCCCCGGACCCCGCATTCACTATATCCGCTCTCCCCCGGACCCCGCATTCACTATATCAGCTCTCCCCGGACCCCGCATTCACTATATCCGCTCTCCCCGGACCCCGCATTCATTATATCCGCTCTCCCCGACCCCGCATTCACTATATCCGCTCTCCCCGGACCCCGCATTCACTATATCCGCTCTCCCCGGACCCCGCATTCACTATATCAGCTCTCCCCGGACCCCGCATTCACTATATCCGCTCTTCCCCGGATGCCGCATTCACTACATCCGCTCTCCCCGGACCCGGCATTCACTATATCCGCTCTCCCCGGACCCCGCATTCCCTATATCCGCTCTCCCCAGACCCTGCATTCACTATATCCGCTCTCCTCAGACCCTGCATTCACTATATCTGGTCTCCCACAGTACACAGAACATGGGAAATGCAATTATGTTAGTAAATATAAAACTGCTAAATACCTTTTCTCATCAGCAGTTAGAGCAGTCTTGTGACTTCTATCAGTGTCCAGCAGAGCACTGGTTAACCTTGTAGGAGGAGAGTTTTCTTTCTGCTCTATGAGCATGGAGAACCCCTGACCTCTGTCTGGACAGTGCGGATTGGCCCTGTGCTGATCACATGAACACTCCCAAGAAAAAAAAAAACAAACCTCTAGCAATACACACCAAACTGAGCATGTGCAAAGAGACTCCACACGATATGTCTTATCAGGAGATAAGAGGGGGACACTGGAAGAAGGGGAGGATCAGAGAAGACAGGATCAAACAGCCTTTTACACAATGCGGAGGATTAACCCCTTAGGTCCCACAGTGAGTATAACCAGCATGCTTTACTGCATCTACAGACTGATTGTACTGTTGTGGGTTTAGTAACACTGTACGGCTCACACCCAATCCTCCTGTCGGTGGCAGTATAACCCAATAGTATATGATTCCTGTGTCCCTCTATGGACAAGAAAGTTGTAGCATAGAAAATAGGCGTGTGTTTAATTTTCTGAAAAGCTAAAATCTCAGCAGGACGGCATATAAAGGGGCTTTTTTTTCAGCAGGAACACGGGGGACGTAGTCCCAGAACCTCCAGCACTGAATGTATATAATTGCAAGGAGTGATGGTGTGTGCTGAGGGTATATTGATGATGCTAGGGATCTATTGTTGTGGGGGCTTCATTGTTGCTCAGGAGATCTATTGTTGCTGTGGATTTCATATTACTGGGGGGATCTACAGTTGAGGGAGGGATCTCTTGTTGCTGACTGCTGTGGGGTTTGTTGATGCTGCCTGCTGAGAGATCTGTTGTTGCTAGTAGGGGTCTATTGTTGCTGGACTAGGATGGCCACCTCATCCCTTTAAACCCGGACCTCTTACTATTACAGGGGATCTGTGTCATCAGCCCCAGAACCCGTGTAATAATAGGTGTTTCGGGTGTAAAGGGATGAGGTGGCAACCCTACGCTGGAGGTGTATTTTGTTGGGGGGGGGTCTATTGTGGGGAGGTCCATTGTTGTGGGGGGTCTATTGTTGTTTGGGGTCCATTGTTTCTAGGGGGGTCTATTGTTGCTGGGGCATATATTGTTGCTGGGGGTCCATTGTTGCTGTGTGGGGGATCTATTTTTGCTTTGGGGTCTATTGTTGCTGGGGGATCTATTGTTGCTTTGGGGTCTAGTGTTGCTGGGGGTCTATTGTTGCTGGGGGTCTATTGTTGCTTTTGGGTCTATTGTTGTTGGGAAGTCCATTGTTGCTATGGGGGGTCTATTGTTGCTGTGGGGGTATATTGTTGCTGGGGATCTATTTTTTGCTGGGGTCCATTGTTTCTAGGTGGTCTATTGATTCTGTGGGGGGTCTATTGTTTGCTTTGGGGTCTATTGTTGCTGGGGGGGGGAGAGATATTGTTGCTGGCTGCAGGGGATCTTTTTTTTTTTTTTACCAGATAGGGTTGGGGGGGGGGGGGGTCTTTTTTACTTCTTTTCTTGTTATTAACAAATTCTATACAAATTGTTTACAAAATGATACTTGGTTTTGTATTCTCTAAAAGGGGCGCTATTGGGAGCTGGGTAGAGGGTGGAATCAACAGACAGTGCCCGGAGGTGGGTGGGGGGGTACCTGCACCCATGGGCCGCAGATAAGGGGGGGACCACCAGTCCTCCTGTACGGGGCCCAGGCCAGCAGGGGGGCCCAGGCAGCTGGATGATGATCAGCAGGGTGGGGGCAATAGCTGGAACCAATCCCCTGTATGGCTCCCTGCAGCAGCTGAAAAGGCAGCTTCTTCTCCTCTCTCTTCTGCTGGCTTTTAGCTGCTGCAGAGAGAGCCATACAGGGGATCAGGGAGTAATTCTAAATTGCCCACCCCCGCTTCACCAATCACCCTCCCTGTGCACCAAACCTTTCCCTCTACTGGCCAGGCCCCCTGTGTGCCCCAAAGTGCTTCCGGCTTCCCTCCTCCTCCTTCAGGATGGAGAGTGGGGGAAGGGTGCAGTAAATATGTCACATTTACCTGCCTTTTCCTTTCCCGAATGAACACAATGAGTGATAGGTACTGATCGCACACTGTGTTCGTTCATAACTGAAGCATAGTAAATGTGTTTATTTGGGGGGGGGGGGGGCTGTCAGGTTGGCTGTATGGGGCCCTGTGGTTTCTAACAGCAGCCCTGCCTGCATCTATTTGAGAAAATAAAAGCCCTGACTGCATATAACCAATTATGAAGCATTTTTAAAATTAGATTATGGATCATGTGGTTGCTCGGTGATGTTGGTTTGCAGTAACTGTTCAAAGAAGACATTTGATTTGTTTTGATAACTAGGGACCAAACTTGGAAATCTGGGACTACATATGGATCATCCGCACTGATGGTCTACCTCAATTTTTCTAAGTGGTAACATGTTGTACTCTTTTTCAGTCAGGAGGGGGGCAGCAAAAAACACCTCTTCTGGTCATAGTTTTCTGGAATACCAACTGTAACACTTCCAGATCACTTCCACTTCTGGCACTATTTTTTTTTCTTTACATGTATCAATCAGTATTTATTGCTAGGGAATGGAATGTAAACATCCTTCCCCACATGGAAGCAAAATATATTTGAAAAATATTCTTCCCAAATATATTGACATATATTTGAAATACTACAAATTTGTCCGTATTCAATATATTTCAATAAATTATATATGAAAAATAGTTTTAAAAATATATTTTGTTTAAATTTTTCAGATTTTTTTTAACATAAAAAAGTCATTTTAAACATATATTTTTAAATGCATCCCAAAAAATGTAGATTAAATGTATTTTTAAAGATGTACCGTATATTTGAAAATGTATTTAAAAATATTTTTCATATATTTTGTAATAAGAACGCATTTCAATATATATATATATATTATATAAATTTATTTAGTTATTTATTTTTTTAAAATATATTGAATACGGCCAAAATTGTAGTATTTCAAATATATGTCAATATATTTGGGAAGAATATTTTTTAAGCGATCTGCAGTGACGGGTACTCTTTATGGCGAGACCTGGGGTCTCTAAGGCCCCAAATCCCTTCTCTACCCTTACTAGACCTCAAAACGGTAAGGGTGCGGTGTGTGTGATCAAATGCTTTTGATTTTTTTTTTTTTTATAAATGGCGCCATCGACATCCGGGTAAACCGGCAGTGATGTCAGGTCATGGCCTCCGGGTTACCATAGAGGAGAGACGATTTAAAGCGATCCCAGCTTTGATCAGCCCTCCGACCAGCCGCCGGATGTGCCAGCTGGTCGATCGGGTCTTTCGGTGGTACAGGAGAGTCCGAGCAAGCTGCGGAAGGCATCAGCAGCAGGGAGAACCTCTTCCCCCGCTGCTTGTAATAGAAATCCAGCAGCTAGTTAGTCACTCCGATTGCCATTACAAGTAAGCCGGCTCTAAAAAAAGCCGGTACCGGGGTGATGGCTGCACCCAAAATACAGCCACGTGACTGTATGTCGCTGCAGCTGAAGGGGGGTGATAATAAAAGGAGACTAGACAATAAATGAGATTCCTTTCTGGTATCGTCTTCAATAGATTTTGTTTCTTTTTCTTTTTCTGGTGTCAGATAGGAATGTCCACGCCTCCATCTCAAATATGTAAACTGAAATATTTGACTTTATGTCCAGATAATGAATAATCCCGACGTGTGAGTGGCATTCCCCTGCAAAGCAAACCAGGGCTGTCTCCATAGGGGACAAAGTTACAGGTTTTGTACTGATCCCCCCTCCCCCCAGCATCACATTTCCCTGTTTCAGGACTGGTCAGCTGAGTGTGTTAAGCCAGAACATCAGGTTTTTGACTACTACCCTTCCCTCCCATTCCCCCCCCCCCCCAGGTGTTTATTTAAAACAAACTCCTTTACATTCCACTTCTGCAGTTTTCTAGGGAACTGTTTTTCCATATTTTTAGAATGTCCCGTGACTGAAAGAGGACCATCTCCAGGCACCCCAGTCTACAGTATAAAAAATGTAAATGTTATTCATGGGAAACCCAAATCTGGGACGGTGCACACAACCACCTCGATGAAATGAACTTCACATCAGAGGTTCCCATTACGTTAGAGGTCCCCCCCATCAAGTCAGAGTCCCCCCCCCATCACACTAGAGATCCCCCCCACACCACATCAGAGGTCCTCCCATCACATCAGGGGTCC